TCTCTATCTGGTTTTGGTATTAGTGTGATGCTGGCTTCATAGAATGAGCTGGGAAGTGTTCCTTTCTCTTGAATTTTTTGGAATAGTCTGAGGAGGATATGTTTTAGTTCTTCCTTGAATGTTTGGTAAAACTCCCCTGTGAAGCCGTCTGGCCCCGGGCTTTTGTTTGCTGGGAGCTTTTTGGTGACTGCTTCAATTTCTTCCATAGTTATTGGCCTATTGAGATTTTTAGAATCTTCCGGATTGAGTTTTGGAGGATTGTATTTTTCTAGGAATATGTCCATTTCCTCCAGGTTGTCTAGTTTGTTAGAGTAGAGTTGTTCATAGTATTTTTTAACAATTCTTTGAATTTCTGAGGGGTCTGTTGTTATTTCGCCTCTTTCATTTCTGATTTTGTTTATTTGAGTCCTCTTTCTTTGCTTCTTGGTGAGCCTGGCTAGAGGCTCATCAATCTTGTTTATCCTTTCAAAGAACCAGCTCTTGCTTTCATTGATCTTTTGTATTGTTTTTTTGGTCTCTATGTCATTTATTTTTGCTCTGATCTTTATTATCTCCTTCCTTCTGCTCACTCTGGGCTTTTCTTGTTGCTCTCTTTCTCATTCTTTGAGTTGTAGAGTTAAATGATTTACTATGATTTTTTCTTGGTTTTTGAGGTATGCCTGTAGTGCTATAAACTTCCCTCACAGGACTGCTTTCATTGTGTCCCATAGATTTTGGATTGTTGTGCTGTTATTGTCATTAGTTTCCAGGGTGTTTTTAATTTCTTCTTTGATCTCATTGATAACCCAATCATTATTTAGTAGCATGCTATTCAGCTTCCAAGTGTTTGAGTTTTTTGGATTGTTTTTATTGTAATTTATTTCTAATATTATGCCATTGTGGTCTGAGAAGATGCTTGGTATGATTTCAGTCTTCTTGAATTTGGGGAGACTTTGCTTGTGACCCAATATGTGGTCTATTTTTGAAAATCTCCCATGTGCACTTGAGAAGAACGTATATTCCGTGGCTTTGGGGTAAAATGTTCTGAAGATATCAATTAAGTCCATTTGATCTAGTGAGTCATTTAGGATTGCTGTTTCTTTGCTGATTTTTTTTCTAGAGGATTTATCCAGTGATGTCAGTGGTGTGTTTAAGTCCCCTACTATGATTGTGTTGTTGTTGATCTCTCCCTTGTTATTTTCCAGGAGGCTTTTTATGTATTTGGGTGCTCCCGCATTGGGTGCATATATGTTTATCAGGGTTATATCCTCTTGTTGTATCAATCCCTTTAGTATTATGAAGTGGTCTTCCTTATCTCTTGTTATGGCCTTCACTTTGAGGTCTATTTTGTCAGATATAAGTATTGCTGCCCCAGCTTTTTTTTCATTTCCATTTGCCTGAAAGATATTTTTCCATCCCTTCACTTTCAGTCTGTGTGAGTCCCTTGTTCTGATGTGGGTCTCTTGTAGACAGCATATATGTGGGTCATGTCTTTTTATCCAGGCAGCCACTCGATGTCTTTTGATTGGAGCATTTAGTCCGTTTACATTTAAAGTTATTATTGAAAGGTACTTGCTTGTAGTCATTTCTATTTTTGTGCCTGTGTTCTTTCTTAACTTTATATTTCTTCTTTTTACAGCATTCCCTTTAGCATTTCTTGCATTGCTGGCTTGGTAGTGATAAACTCCCTTAGCCTTTTTTTGTCTGCAAAGCTCCTGATTTCCCCTTCAATTTTGATTGATAGTCTTGCTGGATAGAGTATTCTTGGATTCAGTCCTTTGCTTTGCAACACTTTGTATACCTCCTTCCATTCCCTTCTAGCTTGATGTGTTTCTGTTGAGAAATCATTTGATAATCTGATGGGGGATCCTTTGTAGGTAACTCTCTGTCTCTCTCTTGCAGCCTTTAAGATTCTCTCTTTGTCGTGTACATTTGCCATCGTTATTATGACGTGTCTTGGTGTGGGTTTTTTGAGGTTCATCTTGCTTGGGACTCTCTGTACTTGTATAACTTTTTTCTTACCCATATCTGGGAAGTTTTCTGTCATTATTTCTTCAAATAGATTTTCTAATCCTTGTTGCTTTTCTTGTCCTTCTTGTCCTTCTTGCAGCCCTGTTATGCGTATGTTACTTTGTTTCACGTTGTCCCAAAGCTCCCTTAGGCTCTCCTCCTGCTTTTTAATTTTTTTCTCCGGTTGCTGTTCAGATTGAGCTTGTTTCTCTACCTTATCTTCTAACTCACTAATTCAGTCCTCTGCTTCTTGTAGTCTACTGTTGAAACCTTGCATGGTGTTTTTAATTGTAGCTATATCACTTTTCATTTCTTCCTGATTCTTGCATAGGTTGTTGATTTTCTCATCCATCCGGTGAATGAATTGTACAACCATTACTCTGAATTCTTTTTCTGTCATGTTGCATGCTTCAATCTCATTAATTTCCTTTCTTGGCGACTCCTCATTTTCTTTCCTCTGGGGGTTGTGTCGTCTCCCCATTCTGATTATCTCCAGATGGTTCAAACGTCGAGTTGCGGGGGCCTGGGCCATGTGCAGTGGGAGCTTTGCACCACCCTAGTGTCACTGAAGAGCTCTGACACTAAGATGTGTGGTTGTGGTGGGTTGGTGGGAACCAGGCTCGCTCAGAGTCAGTGTTACTAGCGCTCAATGTGGCCTCGTGTGTGCCCTTAGGATCAGGGACCCTGCCTGCACCATGCTGAAACAGAGATCCCCCTGGAGTGTGTTGAAAATCAGAGCCCCCTAGCGTGCGCCAGGAGTCAGAGTTCCCCAAGAATCCAGTATCAGAGTCTCTGTTGCTTCGCGCGGCCTTGCATTGAGAATCAGGGTCCCTGTGTGCACATGCACCAAGATTTGGAGTCACTGGCTCTTAGTATGAATGCACAGGGAATCAGGGATCCCAGGTGCAGGTGATAAGAAACAGTCAAGTCACTGGTGCTTGGTGCTGCCTCCTGCCCGGAGAATCGGGGCCCGGGGCCCGTGCTGCGCGGGAGAAGTTCCCGGTGTTCACACGTTAGCTCCCAGGCCAGAGCTCCTGTAGCCGGAGCTGCGGGACCAGTTCCAGGTGTTCTTGCACTTCCAGGCTAAGGTTCCTGTAGCAGCACTGAGGCCCGGGCAAGGGGTGGGTCTATCAGTTACTATGGCGCTGCTCCCAAGCCTGCGGGGAGGGGGATGGGCTCTGTTGCTCAGGGATCTGCCGCGGGGATTTCTGGACTCTTGGTGTCCCTGGGTCTGTAGCTGTGATCGCAGGTCTCTGTCCCCAGTGGCTGCAGGGTCCTGGTTTGCGTCTGAGATCAGACTGGGTGGTGCTGAGGCCAGGATCCTAGTCTCAAGCAGCTCTGTTTCTCAAGATGGCGTGGTCTCTGTGCCCGTGCTGGCCGCCCAGGAGTGTCAGCACAGGGAGCAGGGCTCCCCTGTCTAAGACTGCCCGGTTTAGCAGCCCCTTAGAAGACCTGCAGAACCTAACTGTCCCTAGCTCATACACACACACACCACACACGTCCACACACTCTATCACTCCCTCTCGCTCTCACACCTAAACAATACTTTCTTAGTGATTTCTTCCTCAGTACTTTAACTGTTCTTTTGTTCTTTTATTTTTCTCTTTCATGGATGCCATGTTCTTTGGAAGCTTGTTTAGACCAAGTTAATGGCCTTTTAGGCTCCCTCCACGTGAATAGCAGTTTACTTTTTGAATAATAAGAATTATATTCAAAATATAATTATATTTTAAAATATAATTATATCCGGGGGGGCATCAGGGTTTTAGAGATGCTTAGGTGAGGGATGGCCAAAAAAAGGTTGGGGACCACTGGTCTAATGTATGTGCAAAAGGAAACAATTTTAAAAGGAAAATCCTAAAGTCTTCCTTTGAAGAAGCAGCTATTTCTGGTTTCTTTCCCCTTAAATTATTATAACCTTCCAGAAGAAGGTTCCTTTGAAATTGAGAAGGCCAGTTTCTGATCATGCCTGTTTGAAAGCCCCTGGAATCATTTATGGGCTTCCCGTGTTTACTTCTGTGTTAAAGGGATGGTGTAGGGTCAGATGTATAAGTGCTAAAGTAGTTCTTATTAGCTGATTGATAGAATGGCGGTATTTTTCATCTGAAACGTTTGCACTGTGCCAGTAAGAGTGTAGACAAGTCAGGCTCTTAGCTGTAGTTCTGCCATTTCCTGGTTGCCTGATCTGAGCACATTATCCAACTTCTCTGAGTTGTGGTTTTCTTAACTGGTGCATAGGATGATTTCTTACAGAATAGATTTGGTTCTTTGAGAATACCTTGGAAACCACTGGGTGCCATACAAATGTGAAGAGACCTTTCGGTGGATGGGCCAACACTGTAACCATTTAGTCACACCGGCCAGGGCCTTCAGGATTTTTTAATGTTGGCTGAATAAAAAGGTAGAACACTTTGTGGCCCAAGGAACACACATCTGTGGGCCAGATTTGGCTGTAGGCTGCCAGCTGATGGCCTCTGCTTCCGTGTTCTATAAACATGACCTGTTGTTATTGGATGTTCTGGAATTTAAATAACCTTCCAGGAGCCTTTCCATTAGGGTCCTTCTAGGAGTATTTTCTTGTGCTCTCTTGGCTATCCTTGCAGTGTCTCCCCAATATACTCTGGGCCTGTTTTGTTACAAGTTCCAGGGATTTTCAGTTTGTGTCTCCATTTGAAGACATTCTGAACCTAGATGTGCAGGCAGGCTGGGAAAACGGATCTCCCTAACGGAGAGATTCACTATGTTGGTGTGAATGGTTTCTACCCCTCCTTTTTTTGAAGGTCAGGGCATAGATTGTCTGCTGCCAAACAGGCCCCGGTGCTTCTTGAATTTACTGAGCCACTGGGACAAAAGATGATCTATTGCATACCTGTGCCGTGTGTGTGTGTCTGCAGATCTGTGTGTGTTGGGGTTGGGTAGAGCATGTTCCTTCTAAAGGGGCTGCATACATGGACATGTGTGTTGTTCCTAAAAATAGTTTTTTCATCGTTTTTTAAAAATTTGTGTTACAGAAAAAAGAGTTTGACGTGGACACCCTCAGTAAATCAGAACTCCGTATGCTCCTCAGCGTGATGGAAGGGGAGCTGGAGGCCAGAGACCTGGTCATCGAGGCCCTGCGGGTAAGAACTTTCCAGCGCCGAGTCCCATTGCTATGGCAACTTCTTTTTTCAAAAGGCCAATGGTGAAGCTTCCTTTTCTTAGTTTTTCAATCATGTAGATTTAAAGTGTTTCATCATGTTAAAATGTGCACTCACTCCAGACATCAGCCCGTAATCTTTGTAAATCCAAACATTGAAGTTACGGGAAACTTGAAAATTAAGTGCTTTTGGTTCCCCAGTCCTTTTATGTTTCATGCATTTATTTGGTTAAAGACATAAGTTTTCAGAATATTGCTAATTTGGTATCCTACATTATTATGAGGTCAGTAAAGAAAAATTAAGAGAATCATTTGTAAAAGATATTGCTGATAATAGAGCCTTTTCCTTCCTATATGAATTATAAATTGTTTCTTATTTTCAGAAACTCAGAAGAGTTAAAAACTAAATGTTTATATATATATATATATATATATATATATATATATATATCTTCAAATGGTTTTATTACTTTTTCATCTGATCTTATAGTAATTTTGAAATTTTTATAGTAGCTTGTGAAGCATTATATTCTAACTATTTCTTAAATGCCTCAATAGAGTTTGTTGTTTTTTTAAAAAAATGTTGTTACACTTTCTCAATGAAGAATTTTCTAATTGGTTGTTCCCAGTCTTTCACTTGTTTTGGTTTGTGAGCCAAACTTAAGTTTTTTCCCCCCTCTCTCTTACACTTAGTACTTTGTATGTATGTAATCAGGTTTTTCCTGGTTCTTGGTCATTTTGCTACGATGGGCATATTTATTATACGTGGAGTATGGCTATCTTTTTTCACCAGGGAGTACTTCCTCAAACTTTGCCTTAGGGAGTTTATTTTAACATATAAAAATCTGTGGAATGTCAAAAAATCGTTGCCTCCGATTGGCACTAATATGGTGGGGCAAGAGGTAATAACGGAGGGTGGTCAGACATAATGGAGAAGGTGGATATGCTGAGAATCCAGGTGTGGGGAAGGGGAGACACAGTTCCTGAAAAAGACTTCAGTACATTTTCACAAACTGAAAATTAATACAATGGGGATATTGATTATTCCTGTCTGATGACAGAGCATGATTGCCTCAGAAAAATGGGAGTATAGTTATATCATCTGCAAGCCAGTGTTTCAGTTGAAGGTGTTGCTTTTTGAATGACAGGCGTTGCTAAGTAGACGTGGGCAATGGATTATGAGAGGTTTTCGTCCTACTCCACATTTGGAGCATTTGCATTGCTTGCCGATGTATATTTTCTTGAATGAACTTGTGGGAGAAATGCTAAGGCAAGTGTATCACTAAAATGTATGACCCTCAGTCTAGGAGAGAACAGGGCGCCATCACCTGTAAGGCCAATATGTAGCCTCTTGAGATCAAGCGGATGTGAAGGTTCCAGTTCTGCCTTAGGTATTTTCTTTCTTTTTTCAAATATGTGATTTTCTTAAAGTTGATTTGAGAGCGAGAAGCATCGATGTGAGAGAGAAACATCACATCAATTGAACCAGCAACTTTTCGGTGCACAGGACGATGCTCAACCGTCTGAGCTGGGCCAGGACTGCCTTAGTTATTCTGTCTCTCTGTTAACCTGTCAAAGGCATCATCACTGTGACATTTTCCACTGCTCCCACAAATGTTTAAGAGTGTAGTGGAGTCCGTGCTTTTATGTATCACCTTAGCAACCACATGTATTTCTCTTTTTAACTTAATTGCAATACCTTCAAATGTAAAAGTAGAGGTAAAGAGTTACTTAGGATCAGGGCTTGCCAAAGTGAAAGTTTTTTACAGAATCAAGGAATGTTGAAGATGCAAGGCGCCTTACATGATATTTTAGGTCAATGTTTTGCATCCCTATCAGATCTAGTGTTTCATTTTCATGAAGTACTTTGTATTGCTCTTGCTATCCTGCAATGAAATTCATGGATAATTGCATGTGTAAGTAGGTTGTGTTAAAAGTAACCAATATATTGCCCTAATTGTGATAGAAAGTAACAGGAAAGAAATTTATAGCATAACATTGTACATTTCATTATATAAGTGCTCAGGCATGATTCTGCTGGAAGACATGAAAAGGTAGGTAGCTATTTGCACCTCTTAATAGGGTTGCCATGAATTCAACTTTTGTAGAAGAATCCTGATCCAGATGTGCCATATTGTTGACTCAGATACAGTGAGCAGATTTGTGGTGGGTGAGGTGAATTTTCTGAAATAGTGGTGATTCTTGGTAAACTTCATACAGAAGTGCATATTTTTTAAAAATTTATCTTTATTGTTGAAAGTACTACTAGTACAATGGGGTACTTTTTCCCCATTGCAGAAGTACATATTAACATGAGAGTTGAGTCCCTGGAAAATTCAATGTTTGTTAAAACTGAAATATGTGAAAAGGAGTTCCTCTCTAGGCTCAAATAGTCATACTGAAAGTTCAAGTGAAAGGAATGAACAGAAGGACATTTGGAAGTTATTGGGGATGTTACTGGATGTATGGCAGAACCCTAGCTCCGCCCCCTGGTGCCAATCACTGGGAATAGTGAAAATGCTCTCACCTATTTCCAAAATGCCTTCTAGGTACTGCCCCTATGGAGAACCAGTGGGTAATACTAGTCTCCTTTGTTTATAGCAGTGGTTCTCAACCTTCCTAATGCCACGACCCTTTAATACAGTTCCTCATGTGGTGGTGACCCCCAACCATAAAATTATTTTCGTTGCTACGTCATAACTGTAATTTTGCTACTGTGATGAATCGTAATGTAAATATCTGATATGCAGGATGTATTTTCATTGTTACAAATTGAAGATAATTAAAGCATAATGATTAATCACAAAAACAATATGTAATTATATATGTGTTTCCCGATGGTCTTAGGCGACCCCTGTGAAAGGGTCGTTCGAACCCCAAAGGGGTTGAGACCCACATGTTGAGAACCGCTGGTTTATAGATTAAAATCAAACAAACAAAAAAGAAACCCCAAAAGATTATTACTTATGTCAGGTCAAAATATGGCATGCACAAACTGGGCGTATTTGGAGATTCTTAAGGCTTATTGTCTTTTTTAAATTGAGAATTGTGATTGATTGATTTAGATGATTGTATTGTTAAGAATACATAATAATGTCCTACTCATATACTAGTCATAGCTGTCATAGCCTCACTGTGGTGATTTACTGATTGACTGTTATTCCTCTGGGGCATTCCCTGGAGCTGGTGAAACTAATTAAATATTTGGCTCCAGATGTGTGATTATGTTGCCTTTTCCGTTAATAATAGAGTATAATTTAGTGTCCGGCCAATGCTCCAGAAAGAAATTGGGCAGAAGAGAGGATGGGAAAGTTTTATTTTTATTTCATATTATGAGCTAAACTTATTCCTAAATTAAAAGTCAAAATCTACTCTATCAATAATAAGTATGCTGCTATTCAGTATATTCAGTTGTTTGGGTGTTTTGTTTTTTGTTTTTTAAAAAAATATATTTTTATTGATTTCAGAGAGGAAGGGAGAGAGAGAGAGAAACATCAGTGATGAGAGAGAATCATTGATCGGCTGCCTCCTGAACGTCCCCTACTAAGGTTTGAGCCCGCAACCCGGGCATGTGCCCTTGACCAGAATTGAACCCGGGACCCTTCAGTCCATAGGCCGATGCTCTATCCACTGAGCCAAACCAGGCAGGGCAGTACATTCAGTTTTATTAAAAGAAAGCAAAAGTAATATTTTTCTGAATATAATAAATGTTTTTGAACCTAATATATAAGTTTTGGGGTTTTTAAGATATAAAGGTACCTAATTTGTACCATGAAATTTTCTATTGTTGTTGTTAATCCTCAACTTAGAATATTTTTTTCCATCGATTTTTAGAGAGAGTAGAAGGAAGGATGGGAGGGAGGCTGGGAGGTAGGGATTGAACCCACAGCCTAGGTATGTGCCCTGACTGAGAATCAAACCTGCAACCTTATGGTGTATGGGATGACACTCCAACCAACTGAGCCACCTGGCCAGGGGTAGAATTTTAGAAAGTTTAAAAAGATATTTCATACCAAGCTATTTTACTTTTAAAATCATGTTATCTTGATGCTTTTGATTTTCGTATTATCATAAAAATTGCATAGATCATTGAATTGATGGCGATGCACATTTTAGTTCAGTCCATAAATGTGGTTTTTGGAGGAGGGTGTTGTTAGGTCTGATCAGATAATCAAACCAATACTCCTTCCCCTGGGAAACAGATCATTTCGCAACCGACATTCTTTTGCTTAGATCACATTCCATTCCATTTACTAAGACCAGTCACTGCCCCCTCCTGACTTGCCCAGGATCCAGACCTGCCCAGATAATTCCCTGCCAAAAAGCCCGCCTAGAGTCCTTTAAAAACTCCCACTCCCGGTTCCTGGGTGCTGATGGCATTTGGGGGTAGCCTATCTGATTTCCAGATGATTTAATACATTTATAATTCTTTACCACTTTGGCCTTGTGTGTAACTCTTTTCCACGACCCTAACAGGTGTTATGAAATTACCGTATGTATCTTGGTACAATGTTAGGGTTGGTGAAGGAGAAAGGCACAAGGCCAAAAGGGGTGAAGAATTATGAATGTATTAGGTCATCTGGAAAACCAGATGGGCTGAGCCCCAAAATGGCTCCAGCCCCAAAGATGGGGAGTCAGAGGTTTTTAAAGGACTCTAAGGGAGCTTTTTCTGGGCGGAGAATTCTCTGTGCAGGTCCGGATTCTGGGAAACTCCGGAGGGGAGAGAGAATGGTCTAAGCAAGTGGAATGTGGTCTAAGCAAGTGGAATGTCCATTGTGAAGTGACCTAAAGGTCATTTCCCAGGGGAGGGGATATCGATTCAATTATTTGATCAGACCTAACAGGTACTTTTACAATTTTTATAAAAATATTTCTCAATAAGTTCTTTTTCCTGATGAACATTTACCATTAGTGAAGGAAAAAAATAGAATACCAGGCAAAATAATGCTTTTTCATGTATTAAGAAATGAAGGTGATGTGCCG